TAAAGTTTAGTAGGATGGTCTAGGGGATAATAATTGTTTTTCAAAAGGGCAAATCCAGATCCCATAACTGAGCCTATGGACTGGAGGTGATATTAGGAAACTGCTGGCATTTGGGAACTTTGTAGTCTCAGACCAAGTACCTGAGAATGAACAATGGAGCACATATATGAATGTGTCTTTGAGTCTGATGGAGAAGTGTTTAAAGAACAGGTGAGCACACTCTGTTATGCAGGCATCCGTGTCCCCCTCCTGTACATGTCCATATGAAGGAGGATTGTGCTCTCTCCATGTAGGTTTGTGTGCAGGAGTTCAATGAGAGTCGTTCGTGACCAGTGAAGCAGAAAGGGTCTGGCAGCTTTTGTGTCCCCAGGAGTGTGGACAATGGCAGATAAGTTACTGGAGAAGTGGGCTGTGTGATCTGAGGCTGTTACAAACACTCATTATTTATGTAGCTGTCCATTTTTCTTGTGTTTTCAGGTATCTCAGAGCCAGCGTTAACTTAGTATAAAGAGACCAAACGATTAGTTGACGAAAGGGTATTTCTTAATATGAAACATGGGGGATTATCAGTGTGGTTCCTCCCATGTGTTTAGTGGAGATAACCCTTTGTGTGGGCTGATGCAGGCTCTTTCCCACTCCTGTGTGCCAAGGTGGGTGCAAAGCGGGTCGTCTGCTGTACGCTTACAGCCGTACAGGGGTGTTCATGCACTGATGTGGAGCCTTTCACGTGCCTGCACAATGTTTATGTATATTAATTGCACTGCAGTAATAAACAAGGTTTAGGCATAGATGAGGTGGCCACTGTGCAAGGCAGCCCATGAACACCATGATGATCCCTGGCCCAGCAGGTTTGTGTGGTGCTGATAAGGCGAAGGGCGATGCGTGGGTATGGACTGACAGGGCCTGTGAAAGTGGGGAGGAGAGAGAGGAATAAATCCTGTTCAATAAATCCCGTTCAATACGGGTGTGGGCTGAGTAGCACTGTACAGAGAGCAGCGAGTACGTGATGAATAGATGGTAAATAAATAAAACCTTCAGCGAGGTAATAACCAGAATTTGTTCCCTTGAGTCTAGAGGACATGAACCCCAGAGAAAGACACTAATTCCCTCCCGGACTTGTAAAATGCATAAGCTTTCTGTAGCAATAACTTCTGTGAAGGTAAAATCACTTACAAAGTAAGTTTTCCATTTTGGCTATAACTAAATAAAGTAGGAAAAAAGTGATACAAGAGAGGAAAATTAATGGCCACTTTTTAAGTTTAATAAATTTGTGTATTTTTGTTTCCTTGTGGAAATGGAGAGACCCGAGAGATGGGTGGAGGAAGGGGAAGGGGGAAGCCAGCGTGTCTGGGCAGAGCAAAGAGAAACCCCAATTGCGGCCGCTCTCAGCAATGCTTTGTGACGGGGGAATGGTCCCTCATGGGGGCAGGAAGGCCCAGCTGCAGCGGGTGTTTAGGAGG